TGGTGAGGATTTATCACGGGGAGAAGAATTTTGCAGTTGTGCTGGCTGTTTGTCAGCTGCTCCTTCTGGAGCAGTGAGCAGGCATGACAGGTTGGAGTCTGGAGTGGTTGCCCCTTTGGAATTGCTGGCTGTGCCCTTGAGCAAAGGCTTTGGAAAGACTTGTGTGGTCAGGGTTAAAAACCCAACAATGCAGCCAGCCCAGATGGGCTGGAATGGAGAGCTGCAGACAGCATGGGAAGAGTTTTCTAAGTATAATAATTTAATTTCTTTTTTTCTAAATAGTCACCTGCAAAGATTCATGCCAGCTTCCTGAGCTGGGCTGCGGCCATGCTGGGGACTTCACCCAGCTGTTCCCAGCAGTATCATCTCTTGGAGGATGTGGAGGCTCCCTGTGGTTTCAGGGGCTCTTCTAGGGGCAAATTTTTGTCACAGGTATCCATGACTGCCCACACAATTTGTCTTTATGTGTCATAACCACCATGTCCCATGTCAGTTTTCTCTGTGGCTGCTGAGACAACCTGGGTGTTATGTGGTGGCCATGGACTGGGACATCTCCTTGGTGGCTGCACTGGAGGCTGGAGAGGGCTCAGACTCAAACAGCAGCACCTCAGGTGAGTGAGGAGCAAAGGTCTGAGCTGTTGTTTGATGGCTTTGCCTCCTTTCTGGTCAATTTTTAAAATCATTTTCACCCCAGGGAGAAAGAATCTTTGACTGCAGGAAAGCAGATTATCTACTTGGGACAGGCTGGAGGGAGCAGGGAATGCACTGGTGCTGTACCAACACTCCAAAGCATCCCTAGGAACCTGCTTGGGGGGAATAAAGAAAAAAACTAAAAGCTAAAGAAAAAAACCCCATGAAAGCTGGCAGAGAAATTAGGCTTAGCAGTGTGTTATAGGCAGGTTAAAGGAACCAAAGGGAAGCTTGGTTTTTCTCTCTCCTGACTTTTCCTGGCTTCTGGCAGCAGCATCCAAATAGTTGCTGGCCCAGTTGTTGAGAGATTATGCAGGAAAGGCTCCTGAACCTTGCAATAGCCTCAGCCTCATCAGTGGAGCTGAGCTGATTTTTACCTGCTGCTCTCCTGTTTTACTTCATGTCAGTGCATCGGAGAGCATGTTGGAAATGAGGGGCTCATTTGGCCTCTTCAGTAGCTTCACAGTCCTTGTGTGGTTTGCAAACTGAGTGCAAGCTTTAGATTTGGGCTCTGACTGAAGTTGCTCAAGCAGCCTCTCCTGCTGGGAAGGTCCCAGAAGTGTTGCAGTGCTACCAATAGCTGCTGGTTTTGCATTTGGAAGGAGCAAAACCAATTTCCCCAGTGCTCAGGGCACAGGCTCGTTGCAGTGGGTCAAAATGTGCCAGCTGGGCAGTATTGCCCCTGCAAACCTCAGTGAGCTGAGCACTGAGCAGCCACGGGCCAGCCTGGTGTGTGAGGATGTGGAACAGAACTCCACCTCTGGTAACGCAGCACAAAACTGCTTGCAAAAGCTACACTGTGCTTTCCATGCCACTTCAAACTTCTCAACCACAGGGCCTTTGCCAAGCCACTCTGAGTGAGTAGCAAAGGGCTTTAAATTTATGGATTTCACTAGAAAATAGGTGATTGATTTACTCTTTCCTTCATATTTTGGGCAGTTAAGTAAAACCCACTTGGGGAAAAGAGGTGTGTGTTTGCATGTGTCTTAAAATACTGGGAATTGTGTGGGGAATGCTCCAGGATTCCAGCACTCAGAACTGTGTGGGGAATGCTCCAGGATTGCAGCACTGGGAATTGTGTGGGGAATGCTCCAGGATTTCAGCACTCAGAACTTTGTGGGGAATGTTCCAGGATTGCAGCACTGGGAATTGTGTGGGGAAAGCTCCAGGATTCCAGCACTGAGGACTGTGAGGAAAGCTCCAGGATTCCAGCACTGAGAATTTTGTGGGGAATGCTCCTGTGTGGGGATTGTTCCAGGATTCCAGGATTGAGAATTGTGTGGGGATTGTTCCAGGATTCCAGCACTCAGAACTGTGTGGGGAATGCTCCAGGATTCCAACCCCGAGAATTCTGTAGGGAATGCTCCAGGATTCCAACCCTGAGAATTTTGTGGGGAATGCTCCAGGACTCCAGCACTGAGAATTGTGTGTCTGCAATGACCTTTCCAGGCTGCTGGGGAGAAAATGGAGAGGCCATTTGTGAAACAAAGAGTTGCAGTCCAGGGAGGCTGGAGTGTTTTAAAATGTGGCTCAGAGAGCCAAATGCCCTTTACAGGTTTCTAGGTAAATTTAAAATTCTTTCCAAGGGCCTGGCAATGTGGGGCAGTGCTCAGCAGCCAGTGAGGCAGACTGGGGGCAGTGGGACCAGCTTGAGTTAGGCTGTGTGCCAGACCCCATGGGAATTAAGCTGTGGCACTGGCAGGGAATGGCTCAGCCAAATCTCACATGGGTTTTAAATGAGCCACAGAGTGGGCATTGCACTGAGGGCACCTGGCAGCTCCTGGGGAGGGAATATTTTAACTCACTTTGAGCATAGGAAGCATCTCCAACATGCCAGGCCCTTTCCAGGGCTTTCCATGGACACAGGGATTCTGTAGCTGCACTCAAGCCCACCTTCCAAGAGATTTCACTTGCGCACAGAGAGTTTGTTTCGTATTTTATTGAATTTCATTTATATTAAATTAAAAATATATTTCTGACAGATTCATGTAACAAAAAGGCAGAACAGTTTTCAAATTGTTCAGCTGGGATGAGCGTGGGTTGATGCAAGGTGGGTCGCAGTCTACATTTGCCTTAACAAACAGATAAAGCTCTACCCCAAGGACCATGAGGAGAAACTCCGGGCTGCACACGGGAGTGGGGAATAGAACCACACAAAGAGAAGATCCACAGGTTTCTTCCCAGCTTCCAAACAAGACAAAAGGGAAGGGAAAGGAAGG